TGGTGTGGAGAGTATCTTTTAGAAGGAATGGGTTGGGGGGTGAAGTGCACCAAAACACCAATATCGCAGATAGGGTAAATAATAAACACTGGAAATTGAGAAAGATGGAAGTTCTTTCTTTTCGATGTTTGAAAGTAATGAATTGTAAAGTAATTTTGGGAGGTATAAATCGAAGGCGTAAAATGGTAATATGAAATGGGGTACACAATTCTCTTTGCTTTTTCTCGAATGATACCCAAAAAAGGGAGGAATTGAGTTTGGAGAATACGGTATGAAGTGGATGTGGATATTCTGAAAATATGTGGTTTATATTGAGCGTCGAGTCGATTCCTCCGTCCTGTAAAGAGGGGAGGGAGGGAGGAAGGTGTGTGAGTATGTAGGTAGAGTCGCACCGGTAGTAGTATCAGTCATGAAAAGAGTGTGTAATGGGGCAAAAGTCTATCACCCTTCGTAGGAGTGAATTTTGAAGTTTGGTGGTAAATAATGAATCTTTCTGGGCGAATTGAAACGAATTGAATGTGTAGAATGGTAGAATGGTAGAATGATAGAATGGTCGAATGGGCAAAGAAGGTTGAGATGAATCCCGAGGTACCAGGGAGGTAGAGTCGAGCCTTTCAAAACAAAAGGAAGAGGAAAAGAGGCATGAGGTATCAGATCAGATCAGATTGGATTGTCGTATCATATGAGTGAGGATGGGTATAATATGAATGAATATACGGAGCAGGTATTACTCCTAGCTACCTAGCACCAGCAGAAGCACCCGCACCAGCACAATTCAGTCTGCGATAATATGGCATTCGGTCGGTATGCGGTATGGGTCCTAGGCATGCGGTAAGCGTGCGGTATGCGAAAGGCTTTTGGTTTGCTGGATTCTGATCGACGGAGTAAGACCTTTCGAGAGTAAAAAGATCCACGTTAGGTCGGAAAGGGAAAAGTCTGCTTGTTCTCATGCAATTGATTGGCTGCAGCGGGATCATCATCCAAGGTTCACACTACCACTTTATACCTCTCTTACCACTTTTACCACTTTTACCACTTTTACCACCTTATACCTCTCTTACCTCTCTTACCACTTTGCTCTCCATTGTAAATTTGTAACTTCCCGTCAAGGTTAAATCGCAATTCTGGGATCGTGGTGGATGCTTCATTGGAGCTAACCAAGCATTCAACACTTAAACCCAGCAACTCATTATTAGGTGGATCCAATCGAGTTATAGCATTAACTTAAGCAAACCTGAGAGTTCCATCGGTTACCAGGTATCGACAAAGTACTGACCCGCGTTTATTCACATAGCTCGCTTTTCCCCTGCATTTATGAATTCAGAGAGAAGAAGATACGGACCACTCTACATCATATCACGGTCATCGTGATTGGTCAAGGTATGTGAATTCCCCCATTCGCTTCCATCTGGAAGCTGCGAGGTTGCTTGATCTTGATGAGCTGTGGGTACCTGGTACATATCATTCTCACATACACAGAGTAGAGACCACACAGAACTAGTTCGTAGATACCATACACACTTCACGTATATCATACAGAGTTCAGATGCTTCATGTAACAGTTGACCCTGACAACGTGATCAAAAGCCCTGGGATGAGAAAGCTTAATCGCCGTTATACATCATCCCTTATCCCATCTTATTCTAGAAAAGTTGATACTGACTACAACTACGAGATGTTCACGGTGCACTGTCAAAATCACGTACGACTTTACAAACACTTGCCTCCGCTTGCCTCTTAGTTACGTACCCTAACACCCTAGATTCACTATTGTCCGTCCCGTAAAGAAGGTGGACAGACCACGCGCTTGTTATCTATCTCAACTGCCCGTTCATCTTGGTTAGTTTCGCTTCATTGTCCCATTGCCATTGGCCGGCATCTAGAAAACAAGAAAGGGAGAGCTTTTGAGTGTAAAGTACGATAAAAGTTTGGATGTCAGGGTACCTAGCCAGCCAAAGTCTATAAGCATCCGAAGTTTCGATACTTTCCAGACTACTGTGTAAGGTATGGGGGGCTCATATAGGGTAGTTCAACATTCGAATCTGGTCTGCAACGAATGCAACTATCAGAACGGACGTACGATGTACGTAACATGTGACCCGGCTAGCTTAGCCTTAGCTAGTCGCTCAGATCAAAGAGAATCTGAGAGAGATCACATTAATAAGATCAGTTACTACGCCACAACTTATTTCAGTCTTCCAGTGCCTCACGAATCTTTTAAGTATCGGAAATATCGATATCTTGAAACCTTGATAGCATCAAAATATATCACACTACACACACATGCGGGCCAGTCAGTCGTCGTCTACTTGTGACAGGAAGAAACACGATCTCCGCCTTTAATTTTCGACACTGTTTACACGCTGAAACAAGCGAGGGATATTCTGGGGGTTATCGGGACATCATGGGTGAAGATCTGGTTCACGAGTCAACGAGTATATTATGAGACCACATTCAATATAAGATGCATTCGTTTCTTTCCCTTCCTCTTCTTTGGGAATACTAATAAATCGCACATGTTTATTATATCTGATCACAAACATAAAGATCTTCCCGCCAAGATCTTATAGAGTTATGATACTGTTGCAATCCGTAATGCTGCGGTCAGCATCGGTATACTATATCCTTATGAAAAACCTAGAGTCTTCATTCGAAGTCTTCACACAACACTCCATTTCGTATCTCCTCTGTGCAATCATATGTTTCGCGGGGGAACATGGAAGAAGACGTGATTGATAGATAGTACAGGATGCTTGTTTCAGATGCCGACGAACACTACGGTAACATTATGCAGCCAGCTTATGAGTTTTTTCCACAAGAAAACCCGGCAGAGCTCTTTTGGGATAATTGAATCAAGGAGGATTGATTATTGATTTCCCAATAAAAGCATCACAATGCCATAAATGCCATAACAAAGTATTCTTATCCTCCCAACAGGGCTGAGGTGGAAAAAAGTAAGCATCATCCGAAGACAATGGTCCTTATGGTAATAAGGTTACATTTTCAGAAAGGCTCGGAGCCGCCACACCAGGGGTTCTAGGATGGCTCAATCCAACGATTGCGAATGGCTGGATGGCTGGATAGCTGGATGCTATACATCGAACCGGTTACGATGTACAAACTAATTATTTAGTTGCTTTTGGTAGGCACGCTCGGGCTTCAAGGTAAACAAAACCCCAACCCCTCTTTTGGCGAGGGGTTATGATCATCATGGAAAAGCATTGAGCAATGAGGGGGAGGCGAAAGAAAGATGTTATCGGCGTCAATTGCGAATGTTAAAAGTACTACCTTTAAGGTGGTAGGTAGATATGTGAAAATGACATTGCCATTATACTCTTCTGTTGAATGCGCGATAGATATCGCATATGTCCAATGGAACGTGTTTCCTTGCTCTTGCTTTACTCTGCTCTGCTCTGCTTTCTTCCTTACTTGCATCGCATTACATTGGAGGATTCTTTACTCCGTACCATCACAAAGCATCTTCCCCGTCATTGTTGATAGACTCGCGTGTTTAATTGTCCAATCAAGGAGTGTATAAGATCTATTGCGGTACAGCTTTCTCACCAACCCTGTCCCTGCTTGCATGTCGCCATCTTTCGAACCAAGATTTCGTTCCCTGATCAGTCATAACAAGAGCAGGCTACCTAGACATGTATGAAATACGATGCGCCGGGCTTTTCAGCTGATCGATTTTGATTGATCCGCTTTGCGACGTACAAACACTGCGGTAGATCAATATCTTGGTTTTTCAATGGAGACGCTTTGATAGCATGAGAAGTGATAGATCATGGAAGGGAGGGAAGCTCTCATTGTCTTCTGGCCTTTTACGCGTTCTAGCGGAGATAAGTGAAGCGGGAAAGAAAGATGTAACGTAAAAAAGTAAAATAATACATAATGAGAGCAAACAAGGACGGCTTAGATCATCTTCTAGGTTCTTCCACAATAGCGAGACATTTTCTGACAGCCCACTGCCCGCTTCTTCCTCCCAACATGGTACTCATTCCTACGATTTTCGTGACCGAGTTGCTTCCCGGCGCAATGCGCATCTTCTTCATCATCTGTAAATGAAAGAACATCTGAGCCTTGAAGATCTGTACGTACAGCAAGCAACCAGGGAGGGACTGAAAAGGGTTCCTCACATATCAGAAAAGTTCCCAGGTCCCTAGGTACATACCCAAAAAAGCTCCCCTGGTATATTTTTTGCCGCCGAGCTAGGTCTACCCCTTCCCAGATCTCCCCCTCCCGGAATTAGACACTTGACAACTCACACCTACATACATCCATCATCCTTTGCTACCGGCAGCAAACTCCGCACGCCACGGAAATTATTCAAAGCTCCATCGCAATTGCAACTCTTGTAAAATCTTTAATAACTTTTTAATAAAAATCGCTAAAAATAAACTATAAAATTTTACTATAAGATTATAACTTGCTTACTTTGAAGGATTCAGAAAAAATAGAAAATTTCCTCCAAATAAATATTTAAAGGGGTACCCTCAAAATGACAGGGATTATTTATACTACTCTAAACTCACTGTATACTATATCTCTATATCTGTAGAAAAAATTTGAATTTTTTTTTGAATTTCTATATAAATTCAAGCTCAAAACTTTCAAAAAGATATACAGTTTTCTTTTAATAGTTATTGTTAAAAAGTTATTAAAGATTTTATAAAAGTTTTAAATTTGTATGTGATTCCTATATAAATTTGAAAATCGATATTTTGAAGCTCTAGATCTCAATTCAGAAAAATCCTAAAAATCCAAAAATTTCAGAATAAGCTTAAAACGATCTAAATTATATTATATATTGATAGAGATATTAATAGGCCTAAAAAGTGATTTTTGGTATGAAAGGGTGGCCCAAAACAGGGGTGGCCCGAAAGTAGGGTACCCGACTTATTATCCAAATGCGCCTGCCTTATCGGCCTTTAGTATAAGGCAAGTACAATTGTATCCTTTGTTGATATCTTAGGAGATGTTGACTAAACTTATCATTCCATCGTTTCTCTATTAACCCTTTATCTAGCAGTTTATAGGTATATCAATTTGTAAGTATACATACTTCACTCTTCATCTTTTCTTTAAACAAGCTCTATTATATATGTATGTTACTGATTTAAATCATTTGTATAGTATAATATGGCTTTTCAATTACCCGTCGGAAGTCAACTATCACAGGCTTTCATCAAGATCGCAGACGAGTGTAATAGGCTGGATACCATTCCTGCTTTCGACCAAGGCGCTGCTATTCTACGTACGTTAGAAGAAATGCAGAATCGTATGCAGGAGATGCAAAGACAGATGCAGGAGATGCAAAGACAGATGCAGGAGATGCAAAAACAGATGAGTGATGTGGAACAGAAGATCGACAAAGGATTCGATGATCTGGATAAGAAGAATGTTATATCGTATGTCTATTTCCTTCCATACTCTTGACTCTTTAGTTATCATTTATATATACTAATCTATTTTCTCTTTCTTTAAGAAACAACAATTCCATCGCCCGTACTCAGAACTCTATGATCAGCTTTGCTGATAGAGAGCTCAGCGGTTTGGTAGATATTAATACAGGCGAAGATATTCCGGATTTTCCCAATACAGCCACTATGATTACTCGTATGTCAAGTCCAGCTATCAATCGAGTGCTTTCAGCACTAGGTCTGAAGACAACAGGAAATTTGGACCAAAGGCGTATAAGAATGAGCGCTGCAATTGGGTTAAAGATTGGTGGTGTATGATATTGATTGCCAATGGTCTACGCAGGGTAGATGGGTTAGGAACCCAGCATGTCATGGTATCAAATATCGCCGTTATACATTTTAATACCGTACCGTCTACCTGGACTGTACTCAAAGACCAAACCAAACATATCGTGCTGGCGCACCAAATCGCTGCATCTATCACCGCCTCTGCAATTTCCTATCTCCAAGGGATCTTTCTCTCTCTCCCTTTGAAATCCAACCAATACCTCAGATTAAGCATGCAGGATGAGAGTTCGTGCAGCTTCACGAAACCAATAAGGATTTGCGAATTGCGTCATGTTATTCTAATAATAAGAGGGCGATATGCATCTGCACCTACTAAGGTGCCCATCTCCTCTCCCTTGCATTCGAAGAATCATTAGTTTCCGCCCATTTATGGATTTTGAAAGATGATCATTGGTTGCGTGGCCCCATCCTCCAGAGAGAAAATATATTGCATTCTGGGGAAATGAAGATGGGAACATGTACAATGTACTCCACCGTTGTCATGGGAAAGGTCAATCACTTTAGGTAGAAGAGAAAAATAAAATTACCATTCATCAACGTGTCAAACATCGAAGAGGGTCGAGACTCTGCCGGATTGTGAGAATAGATTATTTTACCGCCAACCCGTTGTAAGGTTCAAGAGTGTAAACGAATAAAATAAACGAGGGAGAGGCCTAGGGAGATCGAACGGAAGAACAAACGAAGGACAGAAAAGAAAGAAAAAAGAAAAGAAAGACCGAGAAAGACAATGAATGAAGGTTAGCTGCTATAGATCGATTAAAATAGTCAATTAGCAGAGGCTTGATTTATATCGCTCGTTAAGCTTCATCAATTGGAGATTGTGTCTTTTCTCAAGTCGATCATTATGATTTTCTAAAGTCGCTTCGAAGGGTCGGAGAGAGACATACCTACCTAGTACCTAGGTACATATACCTACCTACCTGTGAACTTGATATCAGCTGAAGAGTAACATTTCCCTCCCTACCTGAGGAATTCAAGATTTTGGAGAAGCCTCCTCAAACGACTCCACATCCAATTAAACCTAAAAATGATCCTTCACAAGAGGCACAGCAAATATCGGCCATGCCGGGAAGTCTAAACGGAAGTGGGGTTTTTGCCTTGGCAACCGGGCATAGACAGACAGACAGACAGACAGACAGCACAAAATACCTACCTATGTACCTCAGTATTTTGTGCAATGTTGTGTCATCACATGATTGTTCTACCACGTGCGACTGCTTCGGAGGGAGGGCCTTTCGTCCGAGGTTTTGCAATGTTATGGTTGCTATGTTACTACCATTCTGTATTTTTCGGACATTTTCACATTCTGTTCCCATGGATCATGGACTGTGAGATTGATGGGATGCACAGCATATAATGGAAATGGAAGATGAAAGTTAAGGTTACAAGGTAATTTCTACAAGAACAAGGTATCTACCTAGTATATCTATACTTCACTTCACTCCCTTCAATTTGTTGCAGAGAACGATCTCTAAGATCCATGGAAAGAATGTCCCATCTCCTATTTTCTATCTCCATCTGTCCCTCTTTGTAATTTTTTGAACCCAGCTAGATAGACAGCCTTCTAGTAGCCAGTATCTTTTCCATTCCTCAAACCATCAAGCCTATCCATCTATCTACTTCAGCTCAGTCCTACGTCTCACAAGCCCCCAATCACGTCTTCCATCCTTCTCGTACCCGAATCCGGGAGTTCTAACATCCATCCCCTCTGCGGGCTCTTCGGGCAACACTCGTTACATATACCAGGTACAGATGACTCTGCGGAGCTCCAAACCCTCAAGATGTCACCGACATGCAGCCAGAGAATCCTCTCGGAGAAATCCCAATGCACGAAATATACATCTCGTGTTCCATTACCCCCAATACTTTGTTCTCTCTCTCACGGTCTAGTTCTCGCGCAAACATGGCATTTCAAACACCGCAAATTCAATTCGCGTGGCTTTCACTAGCCCGGTTGACGCGTATGTAGAGTACGGTAGTTAGATATGCCAAATCTCTTTTGTCATCTCTTCGGAAATTGTGTCTGTGGTGGGAAGCTCGTCATTTCCACCTGTCTGTGAGGTCGCGGGCAGGAGGATCCTTGTTGTGAAATTGCCCATGTCTAAATTGTGATTACGAAAGTTTATGGGGAGGCTGAAAGTTCGAGAATGTTTTGTGCACGGATGGGCGCGACTGGTAGCTGGTGCTTTTGATAGTGGCTGTGTCTTGATTAATTTTTCGGGGAAATTTTTCACCACGCTTTGACGTGCTGCTAGAGAATTAAGACGGGGATGCTAACTATTGGCGGTTGTTTCAGTTTGACTTTGAATTTTGTTGAGGGAGCATTTCTTGAGGCTCTATGCAAGATGGCGGTGTAGATGACGATCGAGATGTCGATGATTAAGGCATCGGATAATGAGATTGCCATGATCTCATATCCATGGATTTCCCTTGCCTATTCAAAGTTGAATGAGTATTCTGAGCTAATCTATGAGCTCATAGTGAAAAGTTATATCTAACCAGTGAACGGGGTCAGCGATGTTCGAAATGCAATTTATTAAATCTCAAGACGGGTAGGACCGTTACGTCCTTTTAAAAGTCAATCGAGTTGAGAAGATACACATTAACATCGAGCATTTTGCGGTAGTAATCTGCCTACCTCTAAGCATGTATGCATTGTGCTTCAAGTCTCGTTAATATTCTGTTGTGACAATGTACCTATGTAACTGAGAAGTCTCGTTCTATCATTCTAGTGCCTACCACTACCAACTTCAAGTCATTTCGATATCAAGAGACTACGCATCGCTGTAGATTTCTTGCAAGTTGAATACTCTACTGTGATACTCCATGTACATCCGCATCTCCATCTGACATGATCCCATTTTTTTATTCTCACCATGAAGCGCTCAATATATTGGCTCGTCCTCCTCCCCCAGTAGAAAACGCAATTTCTCCAGTCCTAGCTGCTTGCCCAGCAATACTGGAACCAGTATATCCGGCTCTATTCCTCGCCGCAGGCTGCTCAGCTCAATCAGTCTCTGGAAAGTTCACGCGACCCCGTACCATTATCTTCGATACGAATGGAGCGCTCCTGATTCTTCAACAAAAAGCGAATATTGCACATGTAAGTGGACCGGTGAAGTCGAGCAATATACATCCACGGAACTACACAGCAGCTACTAGCACAGTTAGAAGCACAAACCGACTCCTCGTAACAAACAGTACGGGCACCTCCATGTCCACATCCCTCATCACTCAGAAATCCCTCAACCCGACAATTCCAAAAGTGACCAACGACGACCCTACCGCCCGCTCCCTGCTAACTGCTAAACACACATACAACTAATTCCTCTTCTCGCGACACAGCTTTCGATATTGATACTGAAGCTGAGTTTTGATCTACAGAGCACTGCCAACGAATTCCTTCAATCCCATCTCATAACTTCCGAGTCCCCTCTCAACAACTCCACCACCTCTGGCCAGCTTTCCACCAGGAAAACCATCCTATCATCTCCTGTCAGCTACCGCATCTCTTCCTTTCCTTTAACCCCAGCACCGTTTCCTTATATGCCCTTCCGCACTCACAACAACTACAATTGAAAGCTTATCAAACTCCCAAGCGTCGTTTTGTCCGGGAAATTGTTCAAGTCTGTGGGTATGACGCTGAACATGTTTCGTAGATCGTTCGATACTACGGGTGAGATCTGGGTTATGGCTAAGAAGAGGAATATAGCAAAGAGTAAGTGAGAAGAGTGGGATGAATGATCTTAAGGAAGGAAACGCAGATGGGATATTTGGAGGATGAAAAGTATTAAGTTTGAAAAAAAAAAACGATGCAATAAATGAATTGTCTGACACGGAGATGTGTTCGAGTATCAATTCAATAGTGAAACCTCAATGTCTAGTCAAATAAAGGAGGGATAAATGCTAACCAGCTTCGAGTGTATAGATTTGTATAATAGAATCTATGCTTGTATATCTACTATTTCACTTACAGTCTCTCCCTTCAAGGACATTGGCTCAACAGACACATAATACTAAAGCTAAATAACAACGTCATACTTACTTGAGCCTCATAAAAGATACAACTTTGTACTTGGCAACAATCTTTTGTCGATGTCAAGAAATCTTATAGGTAGTTCTACATCGTACATCGAACACATCTGATCTTCGATGCTAAGAGCTGATAGTCCGCAAGTTTATACTACCTCACTCACAATCTTCAATTCTTCCTCATTGCCGCTGTCAGTAACGACTCCAGTTGCTCTTCGATACGAAAAACTTGAATGCCATTAAACCATGTGCCACACTTCACTTCGCGAGTTGGAATACCAAAACCCATACCAGGAAACAACTGAGTGACATTGTGCCACCTTCTCAGACAATCAGAGGTAAAACGAACTGCGCACCAAGTTTAGACCTAGAGGAAAGGACTATTAATCATCGAACATCAATTGAGTCACAGCGAAAAACTAAAGCTCTAAGAATGCTTTAGTTAACGGGTCTGAAGAGGAATATTGAATAGTATGACAGTAAGTATTGAGGGCGCCGCTGTACCCTCAAATGGTTTAATCCACCAATCCAAACCCCTTTCCCGGAAAGATGAAGGATCACTGCTCGGACTCTGGTGAAAACAGGCAATCTACACCTGTCGTTCGAGATAAGACACTAATTAAACCCCTTCACTACTCTGCGGATGCCAAATCAAAAGCATGGCGAACGATAAGTTATTGCCTAAGCTTGAAAATCAGAAGCAGTTCTCCATTAGTCTTGTCATGTAGGTATAACAAACAAAGGAAGGAGATCCAGTTTGTCTCTTGAAACGAGACTTCCCGAATGGCTGGAAGAGTGCGAACGGAGGGTGGGTGACTGTTGCATGATTGACGAAAAGATCTGACAACAGAGTATATCGAGTTTCTCCTGATTGAAAAGGTTTCCTCGTTATCCCAAGAATCCTCTTATTTCTGAGCCTTTCAAATTTTGAAAATGGTTGATCTTAGGATGACGCAGTCGACACAATTTCTCCCACTCCATCTAAAACTGTTAGCGGAAACAAATGCATGAGATTGACGCCATCCCTCCTTTGTGATGATTGGGTTTTCAATCTCCTGTGAAACTGAGATATTCGCGATGTTGTGAAGCAAATCAACAGATTATAAATGTGCAGCCAGTGATGTTTAAGAGAAGTAGACGCATTTGTACCTGCTCGCACTGCGACTAATTAGGTATCATTTTTCTATATTACGGATTCCCTGCAACCAATCTGCTTCATTCGTGTACAGTTTTCTTCCCCCCCCTCCTCCTCCCTCATAAGCACTCCGTCCTCTACTACTTAGATCACATCCATCCCGTTCGTCCTCTCATGCAACTAGTAATCTTTTTTATGCAAGATTTACTCAACCAATTTTCATCCACAAGGGCCACGACCAGCAAACAACTATGAAACCAATGCCAAATCGTAAGATGAAAACAATTATGCTAATCCATACACAAGTTGCCCTTTCCCCCAAATGAATCGAACACCTGCGTCGCTATAAGGAAAAAGATAATGCTGCAAAGCAACAGGAAACTATAAAAATTCGGCAGCCAAACACATTGTTTGATAACGGCCTATTGAATTACCGCGGTCATTCATATTTTGTCCACTAAATAGTGCCCAGTGGAATGTATTTGCTGAAACCAAACTGAATATACTCCCTGGATTAAAAAACACAAATTGTAGGGTATGAAAACAAAGGAAATTATTTTAAAAAAGAGGTGATCAACGTAAGCCGATAACACTCATCTCCAACGTCCACACTCTTCGAATCCACACCTTTAATTTTCCCTCCACACCTTCTACATTCTCCAGTTCGACACCTTCCCACCAACATCTTCTTGCAGGTTTTCTCCAGAAAAGCAGAAGCTTTTGTGCCATACCTACAGCATTACTACCCATCTCGTTGCCACGGATACAGTTTCGGAGGCGAGCTAATGCGAGACTGCATATGACAGCCTTGTTTGGTTCTCCTGCTCGGTGACCCCAATGATCGTCATGGTTGAAACCTCTGTTTCTGTATTAGTTGAAAGTCTATGAGCATTCTTATCGAAATTGAACATACCCAGCAGTCAACATTTCAATCAAATGTTGTTCCGTCGTGCCTGTTTCTTCACTTCTTCTCAATCCAGAAAATATACCATCTTGTTTCAACAATGCCTTCCCAGCCGCTCTCTTCACCTCTATCATCTCCGGTTGTTCGATATCAGGTCTAGGAGGAATTGCATAGAAGTCCAAGTCTTCCCTCAAAACAATTATCCCGGCTCTATCTTGTAACATCTCCCTGGCGGACCCTGCCATTGGTTCAATTGGTATAGCGTCTGCGTCTGGTCCCGGTGAGTTTGAACCCGATGGAATGGTTTGCGCCACGTTGCGAAAGAATTCAAGCATGTATTGTAAGGATGCAGGATCGTACTGAGATAAAAGGTCAGCTATGTGTATGTCTAAATTTGACAGCATATTGCGAATAAATAATGGAGCATCACGGACATCAACCTGGAAAGCATCCCCTTCATGGTAGGGTACTTAAAATGGCCATCCGGTAGTAAACCATTGGGAAAGAGAGATAGGAGGACGAATTCAGGAAGTGTTAAGAGTTCATCTCTAGACAATGTAAATCGAGTGCCCCTAAGTTATGAGATTAGTAGATGCGGACAATTGATTTAAATGTTCCATTTATAGCATACCGAAGGTCCATGGTGATGTTCTCATCTGCGCCGACATCTAGAGAACGTCAATAATTGATTCATCCAACAATTGATGATAATCAAACCCTACCTCCGAGAGTGTTTATAGGTGCTGCACCTTGCTGCACTTGAGTAATAATACTCGCAGCTCCTCCGGCGGCCGCCATCAGATATGTGAATCCGTCGAGTGGACTTGAACCTTCTGAATATGCAGGTGGTGGCTCGTTTTCGTCGTCTTTCTTTGAGGATTCGCCTTTAGTGTCCTGCGGTAGTGCAGCTTTTGTTTCCGCCTCGACGTCTCTTGAGGAAGTAGAAGCTTCGTGAGATTGTCGATTGTGATCGGACGCGACAGGTACGTATTCCGGAGCAGCAGGAGATGTAGATAGAGATGCGCCTGCTTCAGTGACGGCAACCTTGTAAGCCTCGACAGCTTCGGCAGTTGAAGTATAAAGGGAAGAAAAGGGTGGGGGTCGTGGTGAAGAAGGCGTAGAATGCGATGGCTCTGAATTAGGGTATCTAGGGGGTGGTGATTGAGTACGATCTAGCTCTTCCTCCAACTTCAATTCGTGCTCTCCTTCTGTAATATTATCTAGCCCAACGGACGGACCGTCGATGGCTCCTTGCGTATTGGACAACGTGGTTGCTGAGATTTTCGGGGAAGTATTTGAAAATGAGATTTGATACAAGGATTAAATTTTAATTGATTGAATTGCGGAAATTGTTTATTGGCATTGAAATGCGAACCAGAATGTCAGTTGTGGTGCGATATGTATTGAGTGTTGTGTATAATTGATTCTGATCAATTTAGGAGGGATTACATAAGCGTGTTGTTACTATAAAGAGCTTAGCGTAATCACAAAATATCAATGCATAACCAACGTAAGAGCTATGATTGGTAGCCGCTGAGCGCTTAGAGTTGTATTAAGAGAATCGTTATCTATCAGATGAAAGCTTAAGATTGACTATGGAATTTATACGATAGCCTTGTGTGTGTATAGATTCAAGCTAGGGGACATACATCTGAACATTCCTGCGAATACTTATTATCTTTAAAAAAGAGTTATATGTTTATTCGTTCGATTCTGCTGGTTGACTTCTAGGTAGTCATGTTTGGATAGACATGCTCAGATATTCATCTCGTGATACATTTATATCTGAGATTCATATTTTAGATGAGCACATCTAGATACCTAGCTTCGATTCACCTGTATCCTTCACCTTTATCCAGGTAATTTGGATGTTATAGGTCAAGTAGAAGGTATCACTTGGCACGATCACTTCAGCCTCTCCTTGGCTTACCAGTGGTATACCTAAGCACTTGATGTTCCTCATAGTTTGTGGTGAGCCAGTTTATATAGACCATCTAAAGCCAAATGAAATAGTCTGACATCAACTGAAGTGTATAAGATGACAATGTCAAGACCAATATCTAAAGTATAAGAAGGGCATTCGATAATGATCAGTCATAATGCACAAAGCGGTTTCTCGGATGCCCTCGCGAAGATCATTTGTCAGATTCGATATCACAAGTTTTCGGCACAGTGTGCGCGAATCCTCGGTGACTGCTATGACATAGTATATACAATAGCTCTCCGAATCAGACTCTGATAGGCCGATACTGATACTGAAGATTGGGAGGATTCCATTGTAAACCACGCATCACAACTACAGGGGCCTCGGAAGCGTAAGTCATATGAACCTTTTCTCATTTGTATTGCATCAATTGGCCTCTTCGATCCTCACTGTAGTCGGCAAATATGCTGAATAAAACTCATTAGACGATTTCCAGATGCTTGATACACGGAATGTTGTTTTCTATCAACTTGTTAATATTGATTTTTTTGTGGATTGTTTTTACAGTTTTGCAGGAATGGATACTATTTCTCCAACATAGTTCCAAGTGCGAACCTAAGAGGCGCCCACAGTTCTTTTTCGAATTGAGTAACATTACTCAAAAGCAGTTCTACTGGCCCATACTGTCTCCGCATCATTGCAGGTATTCAATCAATCAATCCTGACCAGAGGATCGGTCAAGTGAGACGTCCAATTAGTTACTTATATTACTAGCGAGCTTGACACGCAGGCCCAGGAGATCTTTGCTTTAGTGATAGCTCAGTCAGCTTCACATACCCCAGTCAGAGCAACGTCGATACATCAACAAGACCTAAACCACGATCAGTTCCAGGCATTTTCCACTCGGTCAAGAGATACTGATCAGTACTTCATGGAACACCTTTCATTCCCAGCAAGCCCTCCTCTATCAAAGCTTCAAGCCAGAGGGAACCTCCAAAATAAGTCCAGCAAATACAGAACACCCTCACAATACTTGAAGATCTTAATATAGGCTGGTTTGTTTTAAACAAACTCGTATCCAGATATGTGACTAGCGAGAGTGCCCGACTGAAAGAAAAAAGCTTCAAAGGTTGCGGTAAAGGCGAGTTGTGTACGAGAAGAGTACTTTGGACTCAGGAACCTCACTAGAAATGCTAAACGATGATACCATTTAATCTGGTTTACAGGTCTTTGTTCTAATTCAACATACAGCCTTTACCATACATGGTCATCGTTTACTGGTAGAAGCGAGGAGCGAAAGATACCTACCTACCTACCTATCCATAAGCGAATTGTTTTTAGGCGAGGGATAGCAGATCAGTGAGTAATATAAACCGAATGATAATCCTAGGACATCTCTTCCAGCTGAGATTGTGAGAAGACTTTCAACATCTAATGAAGCTGAACCAGTGTTGCATATGCAAGCTGTGTTACTGATTGTTAAGGTGTATGTTCATCGGCGCTGGATGATCGTCACATGACTTCACCAGTCATCTCAGGGTTAATCTATAAACCTTCCCGTGTGAAGTACCATAATATCACAAATTATGACGTTTGGTCCATGATTTAATCACGGTGGGAGTATGTTCATGAGGGGATCTTTGATACAGCAAACATCAAGTTAGCGTGAAGGCTTTGAATTACTCTTGGGTGTGTTAGAACCGATGACTTTGCATTTCGGGAGCACCAAAAACGGACAATATAATGCACATCGAAGGAACAAACAGCCTATAATGGGATGGGACAGTCTAGAATAATAAAGGATGCATGTGTTTAGGGAGCCAGAGATTCCATTTCATTCACAAAACCACGAAGGCATCTTTCCGGACATAATAATAAATATTCACAAATCAAGAACTGAACTATATACAATCACGGTGCTCACTACCGATAGCTCATTTTCAAGGGTAGCCAGCACACAAATCGTGCGACTCCAGAAATCCAAATCAAAAGGTCCTTCAGCGGAAAAAGAAATGAGAAGAGAATAGAACCAACAAAAAGCATAGCAAACCAAACCAAAGCGCATCGACATAGAAATCCTAGAGAGTGTTCGTGTATTGCCTCACTAATCGTCGTCTCCTGTGTCAAGAAAAATCCATATCAACTTTGCATGAATTAAAATTCATCCGCTGCCCCCACGATTCGAGGACTCATCATCGCACTGCCCCTCCATAGCCCTCCACCACCCACCACCCACCACCCATGATCCACAAGCCCCTCGTCTCAAAATCCTTCATTTCCAGAAGGAAATTTAAATTCCGGAGTCATCTTGTGGGAAAGGCTCTGTAGGCGTCCAAGCATTCCAAGCTGCACATGTGTCTTGGAAAGTGGACACATCAGCTGTTCCAATCGTCGGTAAAATTTTACTCTCGCTCTCGACGAATTGTAAAGCCAGTCCCTCAGAGGCATGCCATGCGATATGGCAGTGCATGAGCCAAGAACCGGGGTTATCGATTTGGAAAGCGATGACAAGATGTCCGCCGCTGGGAAGTGTCATCACGTCACGACGGGGTGGGTTCACTAGATTGAGTGCGGTGGTAGCGGTATAGGCTCCGGTGCCTTGAGAGATAGTCCAGAAATCATGACCGTGGAGATGGATAGGGTGGTTAGGACTAGAAGGTAGATCGTCAGTATGGTTTACAATAAAATAATCGGTGGATAGTGGTAGAAAGCTTACCCATTGGGTCTTGAGATGGCGAGAACGGCCCATCCCTTGTTCGCCGTAGTGGACTCAACAGGAATAACATTGTATTCTGTTGGCCAAATGTTTCCGCTATTCAAGACAGTGAGAAGAGTGGGGTCGGTCCAATTAAGAAGTAAAGAACTTCCATTGAATAGCCATTGGCCACCCGCAGTGGTCAACGTTGTCTTCATGATAGAACTGGCAACTGGATTGATTGGTACAAATGAAACAAGGCTTGTCAATGGTTCATCCAAACAACTTGTACTTGCCGTTACAGTAGAGGTAGTCGTTGGGTCAGCAGTAGAGCTAGAACCAGTGTATCTAAGGATTCCAGTGATGTTGGCAGCGTTGGTGTTACCAGAACATGCTGTTTGCCATCCTGCTCTGATCCAGTAGTTGCCGACCGCAGCATTGGCTGTAACAATGATATCGTAACGTTGAGCGATGCTTACAAGGATACTGGTAGCGTTGTATGGAACAATCGGTACAAAGTCCATTGCTATGACTTGGAAGCTGTGACCATCAATAGAAAATTGGAAATGACCGTCGACAGCTGTGTTGACCACTCTGATGCGATACTTCGAGCCTGGTGTAAAAGTAGTTTGAAACTTTTTACCAGCTCCATTATATGTGTTGGTGCCGTTCATAAGATCAGTTAAAAGTGTTGGAGGTGCTCCAGTCTTGGCTTTGTCCTAGAGTGATTGAACAGGTACGTGATTCCAGTCATTCAAGAACAACATGCCAAGATCAACATCGTAGTTGGCGGTTGCAGGGCCGTTAATAACGAGTGGGCCGAAAAGTCCATCACCATATTGAAGAATAAAATGGGAGTGATACCAGGAGCTACCATAGTTGTCCGCGTGAAACTTGTATGTGAGAGTATCTCCAGGAGCAATTGGGCATTGTGTGATCCCTGTGAATAATGTCAGTTTAGGATATAGAACAGAACATGGTCAGTTTTACCTGGAACTCCGTCGTACTGAGCGTTGTTCAACTGTCTGATACCATGCCAGTGAATAGATGTTCCGTTGTTAGTCAGTTTATTCGTAACGTGGACGATAACATCATCACCCCAGTCTGCCGTGATTTGAGGGCCCGGGATGGTACCATTGAAGTTAAGAGTTGGGCGAGAAACTCCATCAGCACTGAGAGTTGTGTTCTGGACAACCAGCCAGTACTACACATTACAGTGAGTTTTGATGATTGAGAAAAAGGATTCAAATTGTCATCTTACCTCTCTGGTTACACCTGTTTGCGGGACAGTAGTGTAAGAATTGGTAGATGCCGAATACTGTCCCCAACAACTCCTGGTTGTTGCAGTATTGGCACAACTTTGTCGTTCTTCAAGAGCGGATGGGACAACTTCTGCTGTTGGCAATGCCAAAGCTAAAGAAAGTGAGGCAAATTTTGCAAATGAACTAAAGAATGAATTCTCCATGATGAATTTGACGGAGTTTTGACAAGACCCGGGAGAAGAGAGAAAGAGCTGGTTGATTTGGAAACTGAAGACAACGCCATCATCGACACTCTTTACATAGTCGACTAGATGCTACTTGTCTGCTGAGATGTCACCGATAAAACATCCAATATCCTTTTCTTTCCTTGTGAAAATGAGTAGAGCCTCGGATACTGCGGCGATATCTTCATCTTTCGTCTCCATATCTGCACTTCGAAGGAAGAAGGTCGTATCTCACAATCGCACACGGGGTCGTTCACCCCCTCCCACACAAATCAAATCCTTTCTTGAGCTCCATTGAGCCAGAACTGAATAGCATTCAGTAGGTGGTATTTCCAATAATGCAGTGAGAAGGCTTGGGGTGTGCATTGCGAAATATTGATTCATTTACACCTAATTAGAAATCCTTGATGTCGATAACATTGAAGCTACCCGATGCTTGTGATATCTTCCAGAATGGATATCAAAATGGGATTTTCCAAAGTAGTGGCGCTAATAGGCGTACAGCAATGCGAGCTGCATATTTTCGTTAGCATGAAGTTCCATCTTAGGTTGCACTTCTCGGAGAATTTGGGCTGCAATACGGAAGGTAGGTTTTGGCTCATGTAAGCACGGTTGGGTTAAACTTTGTTGATGAAGAACCGTTAAACTCACTTATCATCAAGACCTTTCAGTATCGTCTTCTCAGAAAGCGAAACCTCAGAAAATTTCAAAGGAACATCTCACCTAATTCTATAGTTTACCAACTTGAAGATCTTCACCGTATACGCAATGTCTACGCAACATCTACGCAATGCCGTTTGGAGATATGCCACCACAAGCGAATTTCCAAGGTTCTCGAGAAAAAGTGTTGATAGCCATTTAGATGCAGAGCTTGCTTCATGTCAGCGCAAGGGGTAACGAGAGGGGCTGCCGATATCACATCGGAAAACGCCATACATCTATTCCCGCGGCGCTACGAGCTGCGATTGCAACAATCACTCGTGAACCTATTCTGGTTGGAACAATTAGATCTTTAGATGAATGCAAGAACAAGCACCCACAGGGACCTGCTTCATGTGTGCCTGTGTCGGTCAAGCTTTGGCTGATTCGTGCATCAATATGGTTTGAGGAATGTGCATTGCACCGCGCTCAAAGCTTATGTCGCAGGAAGCTTAAAGTTGTCACTTGAAGCAATTTTGGCTGGTTTGGCGATAAACTTCCTTCCCAATACTCATTAGCCAGACGCCAAGAGACCTGAGAGAAAGTTCACGATGCAGCTACAGAGTCAACTTGAACTTTTGTGATAGACTTCACGGACCCGTTCACCTATGCCAAGCACAAAAACGTTCTCATGCTACGAAAAGTTAACTCTGCATCGGGCAGTTTGATGGTTCGGGGTATTGTAACGAAAAGGCTGACGACGACTCTCTATCTGGTGGAGGGGTGAGACTGATAATGTGTATGTCACGTTCTCGTCGACCCCCGTAAAATATGACAATATACATCGCTGTGATAAAATGGGCATGGAAATCTTGATACTGGATCTCACGCGTGGGGCATAGTGCCAATACTTCCCCTGATATTCACCTTGAAAGCTATCGAAATATAAGCATTGTTTTCCCGGATGTGGAGAGAGAGGCGCTCCCTTCGACAGGAGAAGAACATGGGTTTTAAGAAAAGATCGTTGATGCAGGGCCGTTGGATATTCATCGGCCAGCAAGTTCTTCATGCATGAATTTCTTTACCAATCAAGCGCCACGATGAACTCTTTCATTTCCTCTTGGTCAAAATTCATGTAGGTTGTGAGTCGAAAGAAGGCCATTTCTCTCCACATGGGAAACTCGCGGAAGTATGCTTCCTAGGATATTGTGAGTATCGCTAATTTAGCATTAAAATAACTTGACAGGTTTGATCGAACTTACTGCGAGCTCAATCCATAGCTAGGATTTTTCGGATCAGTCCCGTATCAATGCAACCACCACCTTCCATCCCGGGTATTGAATTCCTTGCGAAGTAACCTTGAATACATACCCCATACACATTTTTTAATATGATTATATTGTCGAGAAGATACACACATGTTCAGGTTATTCGCAATTTGAATAAAACTAGGGATGTAAAGATAGAAAATGCAACAGGTTTACTAGCATACTAAGTCTTTTAGAGAGGTGATGGGACTTACATTATCGTGAGAATAAGCATTAATAGATCACATTATAGCATGTCATGCGGAAATTTTTGGTTTAAAACCATTTTAAATGATAATAATTAGATTACTTATATTATCTGATTGATATTTTTATTTAATAAAAATACTATTATTATCTAATCATTATTCTATTATTTTATTAAAAAAGAATATTAAGAATACTAAGATGATTAAAAAGATTAAGAAGATTAAAAAGATTAAAAAGATTAAAAAGATTAAAAAGATTAAAAAGATTAAAAAGATTAAAAGATTAAAAAGATTAAAAAGATTAAAAAGATTAAAAAGATTAAAAAGATTAAAAAGATTTAGAAGAATTAGAAGAATTAGAATCAGAATTAGAATCAATTTCTTTTCTTAAATAAATGTTTAATTTATAAAAGAAATTGATAGTTAATTTTATCACGGGGCAGGCGGGCGGGATAGGGTTCTAATAACTTTGCCCTAATCTGCAAAGTTATACTGATTCGGGTAATAGGTTCAGATTGAGGATTAAGACGTAGCTCAAAGAGCTATGATACAGGATCTTCCAAGTTGAAGATATACAGAATTTTGCTAAGCGAGCTAGCCCGATCGGGCCCTAGCTCACTTGCGCTCCGGTGCGAGCGCCCAATTCGGTCCCCTCCGAGGGGACCAATATGTCACGTGATATCACACCGTGACAAATTTAAATATTTAAAAAATATTTTTAAGATTAAATATTTAAAGAGTGTTTTAATCTTAATAAAAGTAATTATTTCAAAAAGATTTTTATAATCTTGAAATTTGAATATATTTTAGAATAATCTATTTCTTTTAATAAAATAAAGTATTTGTTGAAAGTTGTAGCACATGCTTTAAGCTACTGTGCATATATCACTTTCACTTTGTAGTTAGATTTTACCTTAATATAATTTATTTATATAGTTAATATTACATGTATTCCACTGGCCTGCTCCTTTATTATGAACAGTATTTATTATTAAATGAAATGAAATTAAATTTTATAATAGATTATGTTAAAAGGAATAGAAGTTACTGGTGCTAAGCACGTGTAGTGATTAGTAATACGGCTACCTAAACGGGCTAGATTAGACAAACCATAGACAGGCATATTGATTTCCTTATATAATACTACAAGGAGATCAATATGTTTATATATATAACTATATAGTCAATATAAAGATCTCTTTTATTCAATCTTTTAATAAATTATAAGATCTGGTTAGTATAGCCTTTAAATAGAATTAATATAATTAATATTATATCTAGCTCGCGGAATTAAAAAATGCATGGTATTATTTTATATTCAGCTTGCAGAATTGAAGAGTACACAATATTACTTTATAATTAATATATGATATTATAATCAATCATTATTATTAACTCGTGAAGTTGAAAAATATACAATACTATTTACACTTATATATTTATAATTACAAATCTATATAGTATTGTCTATACAGAAAAAGAAAAGGAAAAGAAAAAACTCTATAAATTCTCTATACAAATACCAAAATGAATAATATCAAGAAACAAGTCAAGCATATCCCAATTCTTACCCAAAAGATTTACAAAAAATGGTTCCGATAAATGAAAATATAATTAAAAGAAAAGGATTAATTTTATATAATTAAATTCATATTTCAAAATCATACAAGAATCAAAAAATTTGGAATAAAGATTGATAGTGTAAAAGAGTAAAAGATGGTAGGGTCGTAAAGTAGTCCTTCATAAATACCACAGATAAGTCACTGAGACATAGCGCCTTCAGTAGAGGAGAGAAGGAAAAGACTTTACATAGCACATTACAAAATGTACAAGAAGATGGGTAGAAACTGATTGCTTTCTTTAAACTATACAAAAAAGACCTATAAATACTAGCTATAAAAAGAGGTTATATAATTAATACCAAGTTTCGCTTATATTCCTTTCTATATAGAAAGGTTGATTATCCCAATCAAGTTTAAAAGGAAAAAAAAAAGTATATTCTAAAAGGAAGAGAAACAAGAAGAACAAGATAAGGAAAGATACAAGTATCGATATTCCTAAAAGTAGTAACTTGTTGATTAGCTTTTGATATTAATTAATATAATTTTATCGAATTTTAATAAAATTATAATAAATTAATAATTTAATAACTTAAAATTGTTTTTGAGGCCCTTTATTAAATCTAATTACTCTATTGACTTAGAGTTTCAATACTCTTATCCTGTTTGTATTGCTTGGGAATTCTCTTTTGTATTTCAAACTCCGATTTCTTCTTTATTTCTAAAGTCCTATTATATTTAGACCTCCTACACCTTGAAGTACTTGAGGATTTAGTTTTGCCTTGACCTGAGCCTGGATCTGGATTCTTGTTTAGATCTTCATTTGGATTTTCATTTAGATTTTGGTCTGGATCAGAATCAGAGTCCTTATTATTATTAAACGGAATGGATCTGATTTTTTCTTTATTATTCGGTTCAATATATATACTTTCATATTCATTTTTCAGAAGATTCTTAATAGTTTTAAAATAAAACTTATTCCTATAATTTCTCTTAATAAGCTTGGTATTATCAAATACTTGTGTAAAAGAAACTTTGGTAACTCTTGCATACTTTCTATACTATTAATCGAAATCCTGGTCACTTATAATAAAAAGTCTTGTTATTTTATTAAGAATAAATATATTATTTCAAAAGAGTTTATTAACAAAAACTTACTCAACAGAGTTTTGCAAAGTTAAGTAATATTCAACCAGGAATCTGGGAATTTCGTATTGCTTATTACTGATAATATATTTATCGAAAATAGATTTCAAGTCGCGATG